GTGAATAAAACATTGTCACAAGGTAGTTCTGTATCACGTTATAAAATTTTTGAAATGGTTCCATTTATGTGGTTTCTTAGGAAATTTTTGTTTTCTATGTATATTTGAACATTAGAAGCAGTTAAGTATTATTTGTTTAAACAGAGTAGAGAACTTTCCAGAAAATCCTACTTGCTAAGCAACTTGTGCCTTAAAATTTTGCTTTTGATGGGAAGCAATAAATGTGAGCCCAGGAATCTAATTCCAAAGTTGGTTTGTGATATGAGTATTGGATATGTTTATATTGGATAACTTTGTGCTGAAGCCAGATAGTTAGAATTTTTTTTTTCTTTAAAAGTTTCCCATGATCAGTAGGTTGTAGAGATTTTTGGGCGTAGTGAAAGAACCTTTATTTTTTCCCATAAGACATTTAAATATATTCTAACAAACAAAACCAAAAGATGTTAACCTGAAATATTTTGTATTTAATGTACAACAGAGTGAATTCTAGTCTTAACGGTTTTGGAGTTTTGTTTGATAATTATTTTAACAAGTTTGGACAGAGTTAGGTGTGTTTTACAATCTCTTGCCATCTGGAATATGTCTCAAGGGTTCCATATGACACAAAGACAGTGCTCTGGTCAAGTGGCCTTCCACAGGAAGTCTTAGCATTCAACAATTTTAGCTTCGGGATTTTAGGATTGGATAAAAACTCTTAAAGGCTCATTAGCATTTTTTAAAGGATGGATAGTAAAACCATCAATTCTCTGTTTTAACTCATTACTAAAGAAAATCTGTAGAAAAAAACCAACTTATTTTCAGAGTATGTATTGTGAATGGAATAATTTAAGTGTTTAAAAGTTTGGAATGAAATTATATATTTCAGAATAGAAATTTATTTTGATCTTGCTAATTATAACAAATCTGATATAAAGTGGTTCTGAGGCAAATCACATAAAATAATAATTTTACCACAAGATGTCATAAACATGGAATTTAGTTTCTAAATACCAAGAATGTGGTATTAGACCCCTGGAATTTATACCCTCTCTCACTTCCCTATCCCATGGGCCTTAAGATTATTTCATTCTTTTAGAACTTTTTTCATTCACTGGTCAAGTGAGTCACTTCATCTGTCCTGGAAATATATTTAAAGCTTAGCAGTCCTATTTCAGTTGACTTATTAGTTGGGTAAGACTATCATTTTCTTTTCTAGGTAAATGAAGATGTGATCATTTACAGAATGAGGTGAACAGATCATGTAGGTTCTTCAAATATTTAAAATTATCAGAAGGATGTTTATCTAATTCATACCTCAAAGGCAGACTGGCTCAAGACATTGGTTACTAAGTGAAGCTGCATGGCTGTTTCACACTCTCAGGGTTTGCCTCTGTGATCTTGGTCTGTATCAGATTCTTCTGCCTTTACATGGCGTTAGTGGTATTTGTGGGGAGCTGGCACATGTGTTGACTAAGATAAAGTCCCTTCTTGCTGGTTTGTGTCCCTCCTCCTCGGAGAACAGCAAACCCTAGCGGCTTGTGCTGGGTAGCTGCGTGCAGGCAGGGTTTCTAATTCCTGCCCAGCTGCTGTGGAGCTCCAAGGTTGCCGTGGATGTGGCCAGCCTCAGGCTGCTCCTACAATATGGAGGAGCCTCATTGGAAAGGAAACGGGTGGGAGGCTGTTTATCGCCATGAGGGTCTCTGAGCTGCACTGCCGCCCAGGGGGTTAGGGTGCCTGGAGTTCCCTGGGATTCCCAGCTGCTGGGATAAGTGTCCTGAAATGCTTCTGTCCAGCTGTGGGGTCCCTGTCCCTTTAAGACTTTCATAAAGCACTTGCTTTTCTTTGTCCCAGGGGCACTGGCTGCGGGGGTCCTACTCACAGGTTTTACTGCTATGTAGTGCTGTCATTATCTAATTATAACACAAGTATTCATGTGTGAAGAATTTCTTCTGGGCTCCTTTTCATTTTGTTTGGTTGGTATTGCACTGGCTTGAATTCTTAATCTGGGATTCATGGATCTCTAGAGATTCTGTGAATGGGCTTTTGGGTGTTTGAAATTTGTGTTTAGTACACTTTTTTGAAGTTAAGAACCAAAGCGTCATCAGATTATAAGCTGCTCATAAGCAAGAACTTTATCTTCATCCCTGTACCCTGTAGTGCCTGGCACACAGCAGGCACTGGATAATGTTGGTTGAACTGAGTGCAGATTGTACCACCTGAAGGATGCAGTAAGGATTAGTGACCCAGAGGCTGGTCGGCTTTACAACTGCATAGAGAATGAATGATAGAGAGCAATAGTCTTGGAGTTCAAGAAGTCTAGATAAACTGTCCACCTTAAATAACACAATTAGCACATTCATAGAGGTATTTTGTCATCATCTGACCAAGCATAACAACTGATATCAGCTGTGGCCTTGGAGATGTGGAAGACAGACATTATTACACTTAGGGTTCAAAATGGACCATTATAGCTTATATTTTCAAAATGTACCCTATTTTTAGTTGAGATTATATTATGATTATAAATCTTTGATAAGGGCAAATATAGCTGACTTTGTGGCCTTACAACAGATGGAATGAGGATCAAAGTAGGTCATTTCTAATAGGAAGCAGAAGTATAGATTTTTTTCCTACCTTTTCTGTGATGTCAAGAGCTTCTTTATTAGAAATGCTGTTTCTTTAGATTTCATTACTACCCAGTGATACAATTTTAAATTGGTTGGTGCCTTACTATCAATTTGGTGATTGACTTTAGAATCTTACTGGTTTTCACTCCATACTCTTCCTTACTGCTAATGAGTTCCATACTCTTGGGGTTAGGATCTTGCTGACTAAAACCAATCAGAACCACCTGGGCAGAGGCAAATATCTCAGCTTTAATCATCGGAAATTTCTTTCTCACTTTCAGGTAACATCTTCCCCAGAAAGTACAGAAAAAGTGGTGGGCGACTTTTATCTATGCCAGTTGATAATTTCCTTTACTAGTTTTCATTTTTCTCATATCAAATGTAAACATATTGAAAACTTCCTTGAGACCACAAAATGCATGTGATTCCTCAGACTCTACCATAATATAGGTATATAGTTGGCACTCAAAAATAAGTCGAGTTGAATGAATGAATATATTTGAAACACCTCACCTTGAAGGTGTGCTTTCTAACGAATGTTAGAAACAAAATAAAATCAAAACCCCTCAAATACTACACAGTGTAAAAAAAAGTAGCAAATAGAAAACAGAAAGTCACTTCTTTCTTTCTAGGTTGTATTTTTTTAGGTTCTGAGAAGGAATTATAGAATTGAATTATGTACCTTTACATTTTATTTCCTTAATTGTAAATAAATAAAGTATTTATTATACAAAAACATAACACTTACTGTATATATTAGTTTATCAGCACTATTACTAAGATTGGAAATTAATTGCAGAACATTTATTTTTAGAAGCTCCATTTAAGGAGACTCAATGACTTTTTTGTCATTCTGTTGGGATGAAATGCTGAGAAGACAGACTACCTACCTGCTTCTCTTATTTGTTCTCCTTTCTGTAAAAGTTACTTGAGTTCCTACACACCCCCTTCTGACAATTTTGAAGCAAATATATGCACATAAAAGCAACAAAACTTATCTTGACTCAGGAGTTAGGAAGATTTTTTTAAGAAAGCTGATTGTTGTGGAACTCTTGCGTTATGACTGCATTGTCAAACTTCCTACATGTTTTAGTAAAGAGGAAAAGGAGCACTTAAAACATCCCTCTAGAAACCCAAATAAATGTTGACATCAAGGGAGAAATGTGAATAAAACATTGTCACAAGGTAGTTCTGTATCACGTTATAAAATTTTTGAAATGGTTCCATTTATGTGGTTTCTTAGGAAATTTTTGTTTTCTATGTATATTTGAACATTAGAAGCAGTTAAGTATTATTTGTTTAAACAGAGTAGAGAACTTTCCAGAAAATCCTACTTGCTAAGCAACTTGTGCCTTAAAATTTTGCTTTTGATGGGAAGCAATAAATGTGAGCCCAGGAATCTAATTCCAAAGTTGGTTTGTGATATGAGTATTGGATATGTTTATATTGGATAACTTTGTGCTGAAGCCAGATAGTTAGAATTTTTTTTTTCTTTAAAAGTTTCCCATGATCAGTAGGTTGTAGAGATTTTTGGGCGTAGTGAAAGAACCTTTATTTTTTCCCATAAGACATTTAAATATATTCTAACAAACAAAACCAAAAGATGTTAACCTGAAATATTTTGTATTTAATGTACAACAGAGTGAATTCTAGTCTTAACGGTTTTGGAGTTTTGTTTGATAATTATTTTAACAAGTTTGGACAGAGTTAGGTGTGTTTTACAATCTCTTGCCATCTGGAATATGTCTCAAGGGTTCCATATGACACAAAGACAGTGCTCTGGTCAAGTGGCCTTCCACAGGAAGTCTTAGCATTCAACAATTTTAGCTTCGGGATTTTAGGATTGGATAAAAACTCTTAAAGGCTCATTAGCATTTTTTAAAGGATGGATAGTAAAACCATCAATTCTCTGTTTTAACTCATTACTAAAGAAAATCTGTAGAAAAAAACCAACTTATTTTCAGAGTATGTATTGTGAATGGAATAATTTAAGTGTTTAAAAGTTTGGAATGAAATTATATATTTCAGAATAGAAATTTATTTTGATCTTGCTAATTATAACAAATCTGATATAAAGTGGTTCTGAGGCAAATCACATAAAATAATAATTTTACCACAAGATGTCATAAACATGGAATTTAGTTTCTAAATACCAAGAATGTGGTATTAGACCCCTGGAATTTATACCCTCTCTCACTTCCCTATCCCATGGGCCTTAAGATTATTTCATTCTTTTAGAACTTTTTTCATTCACTGGTCAAGTGAGTCACTTCATCTGTCCTGGAAATATATTTAAAGCTTAGCAGTCCTATTTCAGTTGACTTATTAGTTGGGTAAGACTATCATTTTCTTTTCTAGGTAAATGAAGATGTGATCATTTACAGAATGAGGTGAACAGATCATGTAGGTTCTTCAAATATTTAAAATTATCAGAAGGATGTTTATCTAATTCATACCTCAAAGGCAGACTGGCTCAAGACATTGGTTACTAAGTGAAGCTGCATGGCTGTTTCACACCCTGGTTCATGCAGATGAACTTGAAAATTCCAATTTCTCTCCCCAAGTGCATTCAGTGCTTCCTTTTCTCTAGATCTGCCTTAACCAAGGTTCATTTATTGAACAGCAGTTACTTACACAACCCAGATTTAGATTATTTTCAGTACTCTCTAGTTAGACTTTTATGTTTGAAATGGTTAAACCTTCTTGAGTACTGAAGTATCTCACCAATTCACACTATCTGTAGGGGAAGGGAAAGCAGTTTGATAGAAGTATTTTCATTGATGTATGAAATGATTTATAATTAGAAGCACCATTTGCATGTCTGTACTACAGAGAACAGTTCTTAAAAGTTTGTACTTAGGATGATCTCTACAGTTAGTAAGTTGAGTAAACTCACTTTTTCACATATACTAAAAATATCTTTAATTCCAAATTAGTAGACATAAGAAAGGTTTTACAATGCTGGAATTTAATGTACTGTTCTTTTCCTTTGAATTTGGAATTATATAATTAAAAATTAATATTTAAAGATCCATATCTGATGCATTATATGGTTTAAAGAATATTTCCAAGCTCATTACAGGTTATTTCTTCTATGTTATGTGTAGATATACTAGTTCTCTAGTTTTGATAAAATTAAAATACAACTTTTAAATTCCTGTGGAATATAATTTAGTCCGTCCCTAGAGCTATTTATTAATTATTGAGTTATAATACCAGGAGTAGTTTTTCTCTAATAATAATGTGAGAGGGAATGTTTTATATAGTTTAACATTTTAGCTTATAATACACAGAACATTCAGCTGTACTTGATCCCACTGGGAATCTCTTATTTAAAAACATGGATCCAGAGATTGCATTAACAATTCAAATGCATTTTGAATCATCTATAAAACAAAACTCTGGCAGCAGCTGGGTGATACATATGAGGCTGATTTTATCTCTTACTGGTTATGTGACTGGAGGGGAGCATCTTTCAGGTAGGAACAGAGGAACCCTGAGAAGAAGAAAGTATTTGTCTGCAGGGTCTGCACTGAGAGAGTAGAGAAGGGGTGTGTCTATATGTTTGGGCCCTTGTCCACTATGCCTAAAATTCTCATTTCACGGTGGCTGGAATGTGATAAGAGTTTCCTAGGTGATTTTCTTTTTTTTTCTTTTTTTAGGTATACACTCTTATGAAGGTTTCATATGAAAAACAATGTGGTTACTACATTCACCCATATTATTGAGGCCCCCGACCATATCCCATTGCAGTAGTGTGATTTGCTTTTATATACTTAGTTTTTGTATACATTCCAGGTACCTAACTAATTTAATGTGTGTTCTAACTTTTGAAGGAAGAACCAACACTGTTAGAGTTTTGCTGAGGATGAAAGGATGTATTAACACAGGCATAAGTAGATTTTTTAATTGTTCTGATTTGTCACTTGTCTGCTACTTTCCTTCTTAATGTTGGCATTTGGTGACTTCATTTGAAAAATCCAATCTCTGAGTATTCTTTTCTACATTGAATAGCTGAAAAATTAGTGTGATAGAAGTTGTATTTTCTCTGTGGCTTCAAAAATGTAAGCATTTTTGTATGGAGAGTATGAAAGTAATTTAAAGTCCTTGGAATTTTTTTTTTAATGTGTCATCTGAGGTTGACCACATTTCTTCATCACTTTTCTATTTCTTAAAGTCCTGTCTTAAACTAAATAACTCACATTTCAATTCTTTTCTGACTTCTTGAATGTGACAAAACATAATAAGGACTAAAGTTGATTTCAGCTTTTTAAGAATTGAAGAATTGTCATTCAGTATTAGTTTCAGGTGCATGCTTTCAGCTGTTTAAAACAGTTTGATTATGACTAGACAATGTGATGACCATGCAGAAACTCTGCCCCCATAGTGTGCGTGCGTGTGTGTGTGTGTTGTGAAGAGTTAGACTTGAAGTAGGGGAACCATTGTTTTTACTATATTTTGAGTAAATAGTTTGTGTTTTTCTGATACATATATTTGGTCACTTGTGTGCCTAGTTTGAGGTTTCTGGCCTCAAATATCTTTTCTAAGGGAGGGTGAGAGATATGGGGTGAGGGGTTTGAAGATCAGTAATTCAATTAAAGTTAATAAAAAAAGGCCTCTTCTTGTTTTTATTTTTGTCATGTGTGTCCAGGATTTAGAAGAATTCTGCTTTAAGTTTTGCATCAATCATTTGACAGAAGTTACACAGACTGCAGCATTTTGGCAAATGGATGGCCCTCTGCTAAAGGAATTTATTGCTAAAGCCAGTAAATGTGGAGCCTTTAAGAACTGAATCCCAAGGCTGCTGGGTTTGTGTGAGTGCTCTGGGGCACAGGTGAAGGTGTGTCGTTTGTGCTCTACAGGTGATATAATTCTGCAGGTAAAAAAGTTTTCAGGTTGTTTCTCCACATCTGAGACACAGTTTTCTGTGTAGGAATATATGAAGGATGTATGGCTTTTCCTGAACCCATTTGAAATAATTCTTTGTTTCCAGATATATGTATTTTAAATGTTACTGTAATTTGGCTAGAACACGTTAAAAGGGTGAAAGTTTAGCTGGCTGTTTTTTTTAGATTAGACTCTGGACTTGGAAAGGGGACATTTGTGGCAGCTCCCCTGGCTCACATATCAACAACCTTTTTGACACCAGGAGTTGGGACAGTTTGTGAATTGGGAGATAGTCAAAAAGTTCCCACCATGAATTAAAGATGCTAATTTGGGGGCTTGTTGAAATATGTGTTAGTTGCTCATTCAGTACCTTACTGTGAAGGAACAGTGAAGATCATTTGAGGCTTTTGTTTGTGTGGTTATACTGTTAATGACTTTAACTTCACAGTTTATCAAAATAATGAGTTTAATATGAGTTATACCTATTGAAATGATAGTTATATAAAGGTAAATTTCTAGGTTAGCCAGAATTCTTCTTAAGCACATAAAAACTAGTAATTTAGATCTTAAAAGTTCATAATGAAAGAAATTTCATTTGCACAAAGGTGAATATTTTATAAGTTGGAATCTCCAATGGTGTTTTATAAAGATAAAATTTGAAAATTCAAGTTTAAATTGCAACTGCCCACATTTTTCCCTATATGTACTAATCATTAAGAGGAAAATAATGACATATTCAATATATTCTTGTCTTCCTAAATTACAGCTGCTTTATCATCAGATCTGCTACATCTGACTCAAAAGAAGTGGTTCTTAAAACCAACTTTTGGACTTAATGGAATTAGTTGTATCTCTTGTATCTAGGCCAAATATCATCACAAATTTGCTTATTTGAAACTTCACCAGCTTTTTTTATTTTCCTCTTTCAGTTATGTTAGGTGTATAATACTTAACAAAATTAAACTTTGAAAATGGCTCGAAATTATTATTTTCCTGAAAAGGTCCAAATTTTTTAGGTTTGGTTGTAAAATGTGACTTTGGGAGGTAAGAGTGTTAAACTTTGAGTTTTATCATATCTACACATTGAGCTTGCTTTAAGAATATAGCTTTATTCTGCTCTCTGGCCCATGAACGTATTTCCATTTATGGGAACTCCCTTAGTGAATTCTGTTTGATGCTGAGAATGTCCCCCATCTGAACTTGGAGGCTTAGTACATTTTCAGAGCCAAATTAGCAAGAGGATGAAGAGATGCAGCACCTACTATTTTTAGCAATGTTTTTAAGTGCGCTTAGAGGTTGAAGTGGGAGTGAGAGCCCAAACATAGGAATTCACTGGTAGGTGAAATATATAAAAAACCTAGAAGTCCTAGCCCCTTTTATGACCGTGTCACAAATTACTGAATCCCAATGAATTATTAGGTTAGAATTCGTTTTGCAACATGATAGGATTTTCTTACTAGGTTGATAAATGCACATTACTTTGTTGATTAGCTACAATGGGTAGTATTTGTAACAATCACTCTTCTGTAGGCTTTTGAACTGGACAAAACAAGAACTTCAGTATGTTTATTATTCTTACTTGAAAAAAAGCAAGCACAAAATAAAGGAGCAGATCCAATAAATGAACTATCTGTAGATAGTTCATTCAACAAACATTTACTGAGTTGCTAATATACATGAAGAACCACTTGTTATTAGATTAATAATTTGAGTGAGTATGTATGTAATGAAGAGAGGAATAAGTCCACTGAAAAATATTGGAGTATCTTTTTTTTAACACACTTATTTTTCTACTTGGTTTTGCTGTTAATCTTAGCAGGAGATAAAAACAATTCAAATTTTTTTCATCTTATATAAGAAAGCCAAAGTATTCCTATTAAAATAGTGCTATATGTCCTCTTGAACTTCTTACTGGAAAATTTTATACTCTACTATATAGGCTGTATTTATGTAATATTTAGAATGACATAATAAAGTAATCTGTTAATATACACACAGAGTTGTTTTTTTACCCCTTGAAAATCAAGAATGTGCAGCCTGAAAAAGGAAGGAAATTCTAACACATATTGCAACATGGGTGAACCATGGAAGATACTGTGCTAAGTGAAATAAGCCAGTCACAAGAGGGCAAATGCTATGTGAGGTACCTAGAGTGGTCAAATCCATAGAGACAGAAAGTAGAAAAATGGTTGCCAGGAGCTGGTGGGGAGGGAATGGAGAATTAATGTTTAATAGGTACACAGTTTGTTTTGCAAGATAAAGAGTTCTGGAGAGGGATGGTAGTGACAATAGCACAACAATATGACTACTTAGTGCCACTGAACTGGACACTTAAACATGGTTAGCATGGTACATTTTGTGTTGTATGTATTTTCCTAGAATTACAAAAAATCAGTACTGTGATTCTTAGCACTTACCAGGCTAAAAACAGGTACCAGCATGAACATGTCAACTGTTTTTCAACTATGCACATATGTATCCCCATAGAAATCCTTTAGTTTTATTCCTGCTGAGAGGGATTACAAGGAGACAGAGGTACTGAACAACACATTAGAACAGATAGACCTAACGGACATCTATAGAACACTCCACCCAAAAGCAGCAGGATACACATTCTTCTCAAGTGCACATGGAACATTTTCAAGAATATATCATATACTAGGCCACAAAAAGAGCCTCAGTAAATTAAAAAAGATTGAAATTGTACCAACCAGCTTCTCAGACCAAAAAGGTATGAAACCAGAAATAAATTATGCAAAGAAAACAAAAAAGCCCACAAACACAGAGGTTTAACAACATGCTCCTAAATAATCAATGGATCAATGACCAAGTATAAACAGAGATCAAGCAATATGTGGAGACAGATGACAACAATAATTCAACACCACAAAATCTGTGGGACACAGCAAAGGCCGTACTAAGTGGGAAGTATATTGCAATACAGGCCTACCTCAGGAAAGAAGAACAAATCCCATATGAACAATCTAAACTCAGAATTAATGAAATTTAAGAAAGAAGAATAAGGCCCAAAGTCAGTAAAAGGAGGGACACAATAAAGATCAGACCAGAAATAAATAAAATCGAGAAGAATAAAACAATAGAAAGAATCAATAAAAGCAGGAGCTGGTTCTTTGGGAAAATAAACAAAATAGATAAGCCCCTAGCCAGACTTATCAGGAAAAAAGTCTACACATATAAAGAGAATCTGAAGTGAGAGAAAAAATCACTATGGATACCACAGAAATACAAAGAATTATGAGAGAATACTATGAAAAATTATATTCTAACAAATAGAAAAACCTAGAAGAAATAGACAACTTTCTAGAAAAGCACAACTTTCCAAGGCTGGCCCAGGAAGAAACAGAAAATATGAACACACTAATTACTAGCAATGAAATTGAATTGGTAATCAAAAAACTACCTAAGAAAAAAACTACTGGCCCAGATGTCTTCACTGCTAATTTTATCAAACGTTTAGTGAAGACCTAATACCCGTCCTCAAAGTTTTCCGTAAAGCAGAAGTGGAGGGAATACTTCCAAACTCATTCTATGAGGCCAGCATCCCTCTAATATCAAAACCAGGCAAAGACGGCACACACAAAAAATTACAGCCTAATATCCCTGATGAACATAGATGCAAAAATACCCAACAAAGTATTAGCCAATTGAATAAAAAAACATAAAAAATATGATCCATCATGACCAAGTAGGGTTTATTCCAGGGATGCAAGGATGGTACAATATTTGAAAATCAGCATCATACACCACATCAACAAAAGACAAAAACCACAAGATCATCTCCATAGATGCTGAAACAGCATTTGACAAAATTCAACATCATTCATGATAAAGTCTCAACAAAATGAGTATAGAGGGCAACTACCTCAACATAATAAAGGCAATATATGACAAACCCACAGCCAACATCACACTTAATGAGAAGCTGAAAGCTTTTCCTTTAAGATCAGAACAAGACAAGGATGACTACTTTCCCCACTTTTATTCAATATTGTCCTGGTGGTCCTAGCCACAACAATCAGACAGCACAAATAAATAAAATGCAACCAGACTGGTAAGGAAGAAGTCAAACTGTCCCTGTTTGCAAATGACATGATATTGTACATAAAAAACCCTAAAGAATCCACTCCAAAACTACTAGAACTAATATCTGAATTCAGCAAAGTTGCAGGATACAAAATTAATACACAGAAATCTGTTGCATTCCTATACTAATGATGAACTAGCAAAAAGAGAAATCAGGAAAACAATTCAATTCACAATTGCATCAAAAAGAATAAAATACCTAGGAATCAACCATTGTGGAAAGCAATAAGGTGGTTCCTCAATAAACTAAAATCAGAAATACCATTTGACCCAGGAACTCCACTCCTAGGAATTTACCCAAAGAAAACAATTCTCAGATTCAAAAAGACATATGCATTCCTATGTTTATCACAGCACTATTTACAATAGCAGAGATATGGAAGCAACCTAAGTGTCCATCAGTAGATGAATGAATAAAGAAGAGGTGGTACATATACACAATGGAATACTATTCAGCCATAAGAAAGAAGCAAATCCTACCATTTGCCACAACATGGATGGAGCTAGGGGGTATTATAGTCAGTGAAATAAGCCAGGTAGAAAAAGAAAAATACCAAATGATTTCCATCATTTGTGGAGTATAACAACATAGCAAAACTGAAGGAACAAAATAGTAGACTTAGACTCCAAGAAGGGACCTTCAGTTGCCATAGGAGAGGGTTGTGGGATGGCGGGTGGGGAGGGAGAGAGAAGGGGATTGAGGGGTATTACTAGTACACATGGTGTGAGGGTGGTTCGCAGGGAACACAATGTAGCACAGAGAAGACAAGTAGTGACTGTGTGGCACCTTACCATAGTGATGGACAGTGACTTCAAGGGGTATGGGTGGGACTTGATGATACAGGTGAATGTAGTAACCACATTGTAACTTTCATAAGAGTTTATATCAATGATACCTTAATTTTAAAAATTTAAAAATTAATGAACAAAAAGACATAATCCCTATCCTTAAGGAATGTTTAAATTATTAGGAGAGAGGAAAGATTTTTTGTAATGTTAATCCCTAAGCCTATTTGTACACAGCTTCTCATAATAGAGAGAACCTACTCGGGTTAATATAAGAAGCAGTTCTTCTGAAGATAATATTTGTTCAGTGTAGGGGAAAACAAAGGGCCTTTTAGCTTATTTCCAAAACAGCAGGTTAAGTGGTACAAGCAAAGGCATAGGAGGTGGGGGCTGAGGAGCCTTCCAGATAAGTTGGCAAGGGGAACATGTGTATCATGTTTCCCATGGTGCCAGGCATTGTGCCCTGTGCTTCATGTACTTTTTCTTTTTTAGTGCCCAGTTTTACAATAGTAAGTGACATAGCTAAAGTACACACCTGGTCTGTTTTTAAATTTGCCGAACACTTGCCTACTGTATGACTGCCATACATGTTCCATTGTGCCAAAATAACTACTATGAATGAAAAATTAAATTTGAAAGTAAAGCAAGGACAAAGGTTTTCTTTTAAATAGATATCATGAGATTGTTAACCTTAAAAATAAAACTTTCTGGAGGGATTCTAGGAAGATGCAGGAGAGAAATCACTGTGATGACCTCCCACATATACAGAAAGGTCAGCGGCTACCTAAATATAACTCACTAAAAATGACCAGCAGAACAGACTTTCCACAGGTAACAACAAAAGGCCACATCAAGAACAGTAGAGAGCAGAGCCACAATCAATTGGGATCCAAAACTTTTCCAACCCATAAGTGGGAAGGAATAGAGCTATGGAGTGGGGGAGGGGGTAAACTCCTACACCCAGCTCACACAGGCCTGGGGATCTGTACCAAATAAACATCCATAATATCTGGCTTTGTAAATCAGGGCTTAATGCCAGATCAGAAGGACTGTGGGAGACTGAGTCTCTACTTGGAGGATGGGCATACTGTGTCAGGTGGTCTGAGACCCAACATTGAAATAGCTGTTTGAAAGGAGATTTGTTGAATGACTTCAGAATGGTCTGCAGGAGCTTTCTCCAGGAGAAGAGCTGGTGATGCTTTTTTTGTTTCCTCCTTCTGCCTAGCTGACTGGATGCTTGTGGGAGCCAGTTCTGATACTCTGCACCTACTATGTCAGCACTACTTGCTCTGCCCCAGCATTCCCCTGCAGATTTGCCCCCACCCAAAATGCTCAGCCCAAGAGGTACCTCATCAAAGCTAGTACTGCCTTGGGGAGGGAAGGTGCAAGTGGCACCCACCACCATATTAGCTAGAACTATGCCTGGCCTTCCAGCCAGCTACATCTATAAGGAGTCTTGTAAACTAGTGCATCTGCAAGAGACATACTGGTCATTGCTGACAGCCAGGCAGAAGGCCAGCCTCATCTACCAGCCCACTCACAGCAGTTGTGGCTTAGCCATAACAAGAAGGCATACACAGATCACAGGGGCCACCCCTGGGGTGCCTGGCTCTGGTGACCAGGGTGTATTGTACATCTGGGCACCACAGGACTCCTATTACAGAAAACCACAGCTTTCAAGACCAGTATACATATTGCCAAGATGGCATCCTGCCCAAAGCAATTTACAGATTCAATGCATTCCTTATCAAAATACCAATGCATTTTTCAATAAACTAGAGCAAATAATCCTAAAATATATAGAACAAAAGACTGTGAATAGCCAAAGCAGTATTGGAAAAGAAGAACAAATCTGGAGGTATCATGATTAAAACAATATGGTACTGGCACAAGAACACATCAATGGAACAGAATAGCCCAGATATAAATACACACCTAATGGTCAGTTAACATATGACAAAGGAGGCAATATACAATGGGGAAAATACAATTTCTGCAGTAAATGGTGTTAGGAAAACTGGACAGCTACATGCAAGAGAATGAAACAATTACTGCCTAACACCATAAATGAAAGTAAAGTCCAGATGGATTAAAGACCTAA